GGAAAAGCAGCCAAAGAGAAATCCTTCTCACTGGCCACCTACATATGTCATTCCCCCCCCACCCCGCTCCCCCTCCCACTCTCCCTCCATCCCCCATTCCCTCTCCCTCTTCTAACTTTCACTTTCGGCATCCGAAGCATTTCCAAAGTGCTTTGGAAGCTCCAAACCACTTTGGACATTTTAACTGAGCCCACGCTTTGCTCCGGGCATGCTGCTTGAGACACTGAAACATCTGAAGTGGCCCCAGATCTGAAGCGCGATCTGAAGCCTTGCACAGCCCTACTGAGCATGACTATCAGTACAGTTGCTGGAATGCTCAGGCCGAGCAAACCCCACCTGGCAGCTTACTCCTCCTGCCCCCTTTCCCCCCTCCCCTCCCTTCTTGCAGCCAGCCATGGGGATGGGCTGGATAAGCCCAGCCCTGATCACACCCCAAATTAATCCTAGGGAACATAAATTCCCTAAGGTGCTCTAAAAGCCTTCATTTGATCCCTCGTTAGATAAAAGTTAATTTGTCGTATGATTGGCAACTTTAAAAGCTCTCTGAAGCTACTCATGTGTCATGGCATGGCTGTAGAGTGCTTTCAGGGGTTGATCTCATGCCAAACGTAACTTCTGTCTGTGCTGTGTGTGTTGCTTGCTGATTCAGGGCACTGCCCCCTACAATTTGCTGCCCTAGGCAGCTGCCCATGCTTTTTGTGCTAGCCTTGTTTCTAGTATAGTAATTTTCTTTTCCTGTACCAGAATTAAACAGTTCCAGTATAAGTGCATTTATACAAACATGGAGATTATACTGCACTGAACTGGTATAGTGGAATCTTTTATATGTATACATGCCCAAGGGAAGTTTTGAAAATGGGAAGTAGGAACCTAAGTCCCATTTTTGCAGTTTAATTTTTTTCCCCTTAGACTTCTTCACTTTCACCAGAGATAAATTATTTTTTACTCTTAGCAAGTAGGTGTTTCAAGTCTTTAATCCCACAAAGGGAGAAAGCTGTCACTTTCATATCACAATTTTAAATACTTCTTGTAAATGTTTTCAAGTCACACCCAATGTGACAATAAATAAAATATTATAGGGGAAATATTTTTTTTTCCAGTTGTCTCTATTCATTTACCTCGCTGTGGTTTGACAGCATTTACTGTATAGGAAGTAAAACTGTTTCCACTGTGTAATCAATTGTAATTGTTGGTAACACATTACTGTGCAGCAGGGGAAAGAGAAACATTCTGAAAATAAGAAAAGATGGGTATAAAATCATAAGTATTTTGGTGAAGCTCAAGGGCAGATGTAATGCTTGATACTACTTTTAAATGTCTTAACTAGATACTAGATTTGCAGTGTCTTTTTTTAATGTGGAAGGATGAAAGCACTTTGAGGAAATTAGGGCCCAGAAAAAAGGTCTTTTCCACCTCCAGCCTCATGTCAGGGGTGACAAAGAGCTGTAAGTTAACCTTTATTTTTGTGGAATGAATTGCTTTGGTCAATATCTTCTGTTTCTTTTTCACTTGTTTAGGTTTAAGAAACATGATTCAAGTGCAGTAATCATCTGGAAATTTGAGAACAATCAATATCAAGAAAGTAGGTAGACAATGAATGTTCATTGGTGATGAAATCTATGAAATCTGTCTTTAAACATATCTGAAGGAAGAGGAAATCAATTCAGTTTTCAGTGTAAGGTTATTTGGTTCTAATTCATATTTTTAAAAAACATTTGGGCAACAGCAGTATATAAAGTTTGGAAAATGAGAACTTATTAGGAATTTTTTCTGTCAATAAGCAAACATAACTATTCTTGTTTTCTCATTTTACATTCCTGCTTTCTCATTTTAGAGATTATGAGAATGAGTGCCAAACTTCCTTCTTTTTTGTCAGTTTTCTGATTTTGAAACTTTATTTGTTTACTGGACATACATAATAAGGTGACTGATATGGCTGACTACATTTGCTCTTTCTCTTGCTTTTTATCAAGGTATTCAGGCATCTGTAATAGTCTTATATAAATGTTCTTCTGTCACAGCACCCGTCTTCCTTTTCTACACCTTAAAAAAAATCAAATTGAAACTAGTGGCTAACAGCTGTTAGCCCAGAACAGAATGGCTTCACAACCATTATCCCTTGTCAAGTCCCTTTTTCCTCAAGTGTGAGTAAACAGATGCCATGCTGTTTCATCCTGGGTGAATGTGTGTGAACAGAGTGGATTTAAAGGAAACTGCTGAAGAGCATTCTGCTCCCACTTAAATTTAAGACAAGATTGGAGTCTGGCGCCTCACAGATGCTACGCTACAGAGTTTGGCGCTGCTTATGATTTGAGAAATGATCTTAGTTGAGCTCTGATAGAGGGGATAGAAATTAGTTCTTCCACTGACCACAACTGTTTGGCAGTAAGTACACAGAGTTGTGGTGTCTTACATAGACTGTCCTAAGCCAGGGGTGGCCAGCTAGCACGTGTGCATGGCATGCAGCAAATTGGGGAGGAGAAAGGCAACACAGCAGCAGATAGGGGAGGAAGTAGAGAGCAAAGGAGCAGAACAAGCAGGGAGTTCAGGGAAGGAAGGAGAAAGCAGAGCAGTGGATTGAGCAGAGGAAGGGTATCAGTGTGGCACATGGAAAGAGGTGCAGGGCTAATTTGTGGCACACCTGCCAGAAAGATTGTCCCACTGGCCTAAGACATTCAGAGCTTTGTAGGTGAAAAGTTACAACTTGAATTACACCCGGATACCAAAATGCAGCTGGTGTGGAACTCCAGGCACTGCTAATACGTTAACCTAGTGGGACACACCACCTGAAATGCAAGCTGCTGCCTGCTGCATTTAGGTTCCTGAACTGATTTTAGCCTTTCTCTGAGGTAGAATGCTTTGTGGCAGTTTAGTTTTGACAGACATGATTAAGAGATCAGCAAGTAAAAGAAAATAGCTGTAATCTACTAGCCCAACATGTGGAAGAAAGCATTTCTTGGCATTGCTGTTATGATCATTTTAGCAGCTGAAGCTTCAGCAGTTCTCCATCAACTGCCAACACCTTGGCTTTGCCTTGAAACTTAATTCACCTGCTGTTTCAGGCTGGACTGAGAAAGATCCATATGTTAAAGTTTACTGCTCAGCAGCACAGAAATCAAGGCAGCTTGGAGGGACTTAACTGAATTGGTGTCAGTCATTATTCAGAAAAGATAATCCATATTATATTCCCATTTTAGCATGACAAACTAGATCATGTGTTACATCAACAAAATATACATTCAGAAAATTAATTAGAATTTTAAGTTGCAAGGCACCCTAGGAGGAATACCAAGCTCCCTAAGGCTTGTCTTTGTAAGCTTTTTGGGTTTCAGATGGGCCAGGTTCTCAGTCTGGCAAACTTTACTGATTTATAAAATCTTGGTAGATTGTGGGTACTAACTATAAAGTAGTAAAATAATTACTGTTTGTTCAACTAAAAACAAAACAGAAGAAAACAGTGGATATGTTACATTCCTAATCTGAATATTTTTAATACTACTAGCTCTCCACTAGAATTGATAATCTGAAAAGTTTTACAAACAAAATACTTTTGCCTGTTATTGGCTCAGCATTAGCCACTTACTAACCTGTGTTTCTTCTCTCTTTCTTGTCCCATGTTGAATGTAGAGACATTAGGAGGAGGAAAAGGGCCGAATTCCAGAGAAATCTGACTTGATAAAATAATTTTAGAGGCTGTCATGTGAGACTTCAAAAGTATAATACTAATAGTCTTTTATCAGTGGATCACAAAGACAGATCTGTGCCAGATGCTTGGAATAATGTGCTGCTGTTACATAAATTGCTGTTTATGTCATTAAAAAAAATCAACATTTAGGATTATATGCAGATATGATGTATTTGTGAAAAACACTGACAGTGCTTATTACAAATGATTTCATAATTATTATAGCGAGTGCGACCTTCATCTGAAGAAGCAGATGTGTTTTTGATTAATTGTTTTTGTAAGCACACGTGACTTATTTGATTACTTGTAATTTGCAAGTGGATTCTTATACTTCTAGTAGAACTACTGTTGAGTAAAAAATAATCATATTGATACAGCTTTTTTTCAAACGAGTTTCTAAAATCACTACGTCTATTATTGACTCACCCCTAACTTTTATAGGTTTGATCAAAATCTTAAAGAAAAATTCTGCACAAGGAAAGGAGTGAATCTTTTATGGGCATTCTCACAGATCTGCCTTCAGTGACTTTTAGACTGAAATTGGTAAGCAGCCAGGTTGAAAAGTGCAAATCACTTAAGAAGTGGGACAAGCTGTTTAGCACCACCAGGCAGGTTCACTGCATCCATCAGTTTACTACTGTTTCTGTTTTATGTCCCCTAAAAAAGCAAAGATTCCTAAGGCTGTCAGAGCCATGACATAGCTTAGTTGCTTTAGGAAAGGAATATTTGAGGACTCTCCATGAGAATAGAGTATATGCTCTAAAAAGGTTGTCATAGAAAAGGGGAGATGTTAATCCTCAACACTTGTTTTACATACTGAGAATTAACAGTGTGCTTGGAATGTTATGAAAACATTACCCGGGGGAGTTCACACTCTAAGAAGTAGTAACAGAGTTTGAAAAACTCTTTTAGACACCTGCACTTTGTAGATGTGTAAACTAGAGACTAATATGAAGGGAGACCATTGCTGTGGGGCAGTTCTTTGGTGAGAAGCCCAGTCCATCAGCTTCTGGGATGGAATAGTTTTCTTATCAGTGTCTTATCTTTGGATCATCTTTGGGAGCTTCATAATTTGTATCAGTCTGTGGAGAGTAGGAAAATGATACCCTGCCATCTCGACCTCCAGTGACTGCAGGAAAGAGAGACCATTCATTCTTCTCTGTGAGTCTTTTTGCTGTTTCTACCTGTAAGTCTGTTACTCTGTTTGTATCTGAGTCTCCATTTAGTTTTCTCCTTCCTGGTTTAAATTTGTGCCATTGATACTGTACATAGCTTTCCTAGTCAGTAGCATTAAATTAACACAAATCTGTGGATATCCAGTTAGGAAAAGTAGCAATAGAATGCCCAGACTTTGGTCAGCTTTAATTAAGCAACAGTTTATGCCCTAGGCCAGTGGTTTTCAACCTTTTTTCATTTGTGGAGCCCTAAAAATATTTTGAATGCAGGTGCCAGACCCCTTTGGAAATTTTGAATGGATGTGTGGACCCCTTTGAATTGTAAGTGTGGGAATTCACATACTTTTGATCCTAGTCAACTTTTGTGGACCCTGGGATCCACAGACCGTAGGTTGAAAACCACTGCCCTAAGTGACAGCAGAAGCATTAGATCTTGGGCACTTGTTAAGGAGGCTTGGGATTTCTTTAAGTCAGGAATGCAAAATCTATTTAAAATTTTCATCACAAAGGAAAGAAATGGAAAGGTTAAGGATCCAGAGATTAGTTGGGGAATAATCGCCCTCAAAAAAGATATTATGAATAACCAGAGAGCTTCTGAGGAATTAAAAAGAGGATTCAGCAAATAAAGTGATTTCTTGAAGGTCCAAAGGTCTAAAGCTAAATTGAAATTGTTAGAAATCAAGCCATGGTAGATTTTACCATGTAAAGTAAAGTAAAAGTTATTTAGTCAATAAATAAGAG